ACTCGCCGCGGCGCGTGCGGCGGCCGTTGGGCGCAGCCGTTGGGGAGTCGCCCCAGCGCGCGTGCGCGGTGGCACTCGCCGCGGCGCGTGCGGCGACCGTTGGGCGCAGCCGTTGGGGAGTCGCCCTAGCTCGCGTGCGCGGTGGCACTCGCCGCGGCGCGTGCGGCGACCGTTGGGTACAGCCGTTGGGGAGTCGCCCTAGCGCGCGTGCGGCGGCCCTTGGGCGCAGCCGTTGGTGTCCCGCCTCGGCGGGTGGGATGGCGGCGGTTGCTGCTCGCTGCAGCAGTGTCTCTGGAGACACACGGTCCCTGTCGGCTCTTGCTGTTGCTGGAGCGCCCCGAGCGGTGGAGCAGAGCGGAGAGGAGCAGGTAGGGTCCGGGAGATGGGCGGGGGGCTGCCGGGGCCGGGCCGGGGCTGCGCTGCGCCGGGGAGGGCGCCCGGAGCTCCGCGGTGGGAGGGAGGCGCCGGGAGCCTTCTGGAAGGATCTGCGCCGCGGCGGCCGAGCAGCGTGAGCACCGGGGCTGTGCTAGGCTACTGATTGCCACGACCTACCGAGTCTGTCCCCGTGCAGGGGTGTGGGCAAGTGCAGCGGGCTGGGCTACGGCTTTGCAGCTCTGCCAGAACCTTGACGAGGGTGAGGGCAAGCTGTGGTGGTTGGAGTTCTCTAGGGCTTGTTGTGGCAGGTGAGAGCAGTGGGCACCACATGCCTCTTCTGTGGCTATGGACTGTGTCCATGGGCCGAGCTGGTGAGGATGCAGCTACAGCTGTTGCACCAGATTGGTAGTGACCTTTCCTGCCCAGTTGTGCTATGAACAGTATGTGCAAGGAGGAGTAATGCGCTCATTTATGGCAAGAAAAAAAAGGCACCTCAGAGAAGGTAGGGGCATCACAGCAGCTCTCATCTCTCAGGTGTGTCATGAGGATATTTTTGCCTGGTGGCAACTTCCATAAGGTGTGCATCAGCTTCTGGATCTTCGTGTTGGAGTAGCGAAGTTATTGGTAGAACTTGAGCTTTCCAAGCAGGTGTGGTTAGGGAAGTGCCTCTGAAAGATTTCCTTCCTGCAGAAAGGTCTCCGTAGTGCTGCAGATTCACAGTTGTAGCAGGCAGTTTCCCAGGAGGTTGTGGTTCTGGCAGGTGGTGTCTCTGGAGGACGATCGTCATGTTAGCACCTGCTACAGTGGCGGGCCAGGAAGGTTTGTACTGCAGATGGTATCCCCTGTGGAAGACAAATGTGCAAGAGGGACTGAAGTTGTCTGTGTTAGGGTGCAAGGTCACATGGGAATGGGGTCACATCAGTGTCATAGTTCTCTCTTTTTTTCCTGCCCTTTCTGATTTTCATTAAAAAAAAGGAACTCTCAAAGGAAAAAAAAACAGGCATTTTTAAAGTATTTTTGCATTTATTGATCGCTAAAACCCACAGGAAGGGGGAAGCAGCAAGATCAGGTGCATAGAAAAGCTGACAAAGGCCAAAAAAATGAAGGCAGTCACCAACGTTGTGGGATTCAGGCTCTGTAACACTGAAAAGTCACAACTGTGAGCTAGCTGTGTGTTGTTTCCAGCTTTAAAAACAAAAGGAGATACCGACTTGGAGTATAATACAAGTGAATGAGATTTTACAGGGATATGGAAAAGACTTAAGCTAGTGACATCTGTTCCTCTCTCTTTCAAAAGTATTCA